ATGTATGTATGTATGTATGTATGTATGTATGTATGTATGTATGTATGTATGTATGTATGTATGTATGTATGTATGCATGTATGTATGTATGTATGTATATATGTATGTATGTATTTAATGTGTGTGTGTGTGTGTGTGTATGTATGTATGTATGTATGTATGTATCACGGATTATTCTCCGTATGGATTACCCGTGAAGGGATAATTCGGCGGGCATGTAGTTACGGCGCACGTCGTGAAGGAGATGTTTACGGGCGGCTGCCATCTTTGCGCGTATGAAGGAACGATGTCGGCGTACTTGCACTCGATCGTATTGCTGGCCGTACACGGCTGCAGGCTGCCTTCGCCTGGACACTCCTGCCACTCGGCGTTGCCAAAGCTGCCGCGCAGGTCGTCAGGCATGTTCATGTATCGATAGGCGGAGTTGAAGTCGACGAGGTAGACCGAGTCGAGTTCCTCCAGGTGCGCGAGGAACCGAGTGAGCGCTTCGGCGCGCGCAGCGTAGTTGCTCTCCAACCAGCCTGGTCGCAGGTAGAGCGGGAACGGCGCGCGATTCGCCTCGAAGTGCCTGTTGAAGTTAAACAGCATGAACTTGTAGATCTTGTCGGCGCGGTTGCCGACGTTGCAGCCGTCGATTTGATTGCCGCAGATGCGGCCCGTCTTCGGGTCGATCCAGTCAAGCATCGGGAAAGTCCACAGATTGAACGACCTCGTCGGACAGCCCTTGACGACGCACTCGTCGACGAGGGAGCTGCGGTAGTGCAGCGTGTGCGGGTAGTACGCAGGCGGCGACTTTCTGGATGGCATCGAGAAATCGTAGGCGTAACCCTCCGCCTCGAGCGCAGCTACGTAGTTATTCGATATCTCCAGGTAGGGGGCTATTGCGCCGATGACGTCGGACTCGGGAACGCCGGCCAGGTATTTTATTAGCTTTCGATGATCAGAGAACTCTTGCCGCAGCTGGTCCGTGCTCGCCGTAGGCCACCAACTCGGAGACCTCTTCCTACAAACCGGTATCCGTTTTTAATATCAATAGCGCGCGGACTGTTATCTTTTGAGATCTTTAATTTAGATACAACACATTAGATACATACACACAGGTACGATTTACATAATAATTACGTATACGCCCCTGTCAACAATCCGAAACGATTTGTAAGTATATGACGTATCGTTTTCGAAAGACAGTAACCTCGATTAATTAGCATCAGCTAACAAGACACAGAGTGTACCACTAATTAGTAACGCGTTCGCTGTCTATATGAATCACGAGTTAATTTCGGTAGCTGATTTGCTGTACGTACGAAAGTGAGAGACTGGCAAGCGTGTGGCCCTCTGTGTAGAGGTTACGCATCGTGCTGTAGTCGCTATTGCCGTGTGACGTAAAAAATGTGCCGCGCGCCCCACAGCCGCTCGGGTTCTCGCGTCTTTTGTTTGTGTCGGCGTTGTTAAAAACGAGATCGTAGTACCTGAGAGAGAAAGATAACGTTATCTGTCTTCTGTCAGCGCAGACAAGTCGACTGAATTAGCATACAAAGTGGCACACCTAGCTAGCGCCTCGATCGCTTTCTACGGGCGTGTACCGTCTTACCGGGTTTGTGGGTCAGTGCAGATGTTCTTGTCAGTGTATATATAGGTACATGAACAGCTTATATAACCAAGCAAACAACTATTGTTGTTATAATTTTATGCTCTACATTTGTGGAGTACGGCGAAATAGTGGGAAACGCAAGCCATATAATATAATGCCCTTTCGACCAAAACAATTACCCAGATGTTGGGCGTCACCATTATTTAGGTTATATATATATATATATATATATATATATATATATATATATATACAC